GTCGAGAGATACTCCATCACGTCCCCCTGCTCCGTCCCCCCGGCTCTCTTCCTTTTCTTTGCCCTGGTCCTACTGAACATTCCAGCCATTAAGTGATCAAAATCAGCCATATATTAAAAAAAAAAACAAAACAACAAACTGAACACCCCCTCCAAAGAGTATGGGGGGAGGGGCAGTAATATATTTCCGTCAGGATGTGCCTGACCTGTTTTTTTCAATTTCAGTAATTAGAAAGGCAGTGGGCCTGTAGGAATTATTCATAAACTGCAGGAGCTGTGCAGTATACATTTATGTTAAACATGTCAAATCCGATTGAAATCATGCCTGCCAGCACCATACTCCATAAACACACTTTTCTGCAACAATTTCCCAGCTCTCGGCAGCCCATTAATACCTCCTTTAATAGCAATCTACCACGGATTCGAATCAGGGACGCTCCATTGCACTAATTGCTCTGTGTTAGGTGAGCATCATGGATTTAAAAAAAAAAATCATTAAAAAAAATAAAAGCCCTTCAGGCTAGTCCTCCAGAAATATTTCATTTCAATCCATATTTTAAGTAGAGTTTGTTTCTTGTTTATCTGAGAAAAAAAAAATCTGATATTCTACATCTATACAAATGAGAGTGCATTAAGAAAGTCTCTTTCATAGCTGGGTCACTGCAGATTGAAGTGCTTCTCGCTAGTTAAAAAATACATATAAGCCTCACCCTAAACCTTAAAAGTCTCACACTCATCTACACTGGTCTGATTCAGGCTTCAGCTAGAAACCGATGCATTGAATACTAATCATTTACTTTTTGACTTTAAAATGGAGTCAGGAATAGCCATGATTTCTTTCATCTTTGCTGGCTTGCTTGCAATAAATTGCATGTTAGTCATGATGAGATAATTTCGAAAGCTCAGACACTACAAAGAGCATCCCCCTGCTCCAGCACGGAGGTGGGCAGGTTCCTTGAGCAGGAGGAGGAAAGCAGCCTGAGGAGCGAGGGGCTGCCCTGCACTGTGCTAAGAAACTGCTTAATCCCACTACCGGAGAGAGAGCAAAGAGAGAGCAAACAGGTCTGTCCAGCAACAGGAAACATAAGCCATTTTGTCTATATGGAGTACTTCAGGAGGCACAGAACAGTTTTAGTTTCCACGAAGCGCTGCTGCTGCCTGTTTCAACTTCAAGGGAACACAGGCAGCATGTGCACTCCTGAAATCAATCTGCACTGCGCTCTGGCCAACTCTTTCAGGAGCTATGGAGATGTATGTGAGAAGCTAGTAAAAGGAATTCTGATTTGAGATGGCGTTTTCCTCATGTATAATTTAATGGAAAATATTACCTAAAAATGTTTTTGCTTAAGAATATTCTGTTCTAAAATAAGTACAAAAATGAATTGATGAATTTATTTTGCAGCTGAAACATTTTGGCAAATTTACAATGAAAGCAGAGGTTTTTCCTTTCAGTGCAAACACCAATACCAGTACAGCCTGCCACATACATATGTATGCACTGTAAAGCAGTCAAACAAACCTGACTCATCACTCGCTCGTCCGTGCCAAAGGAGCTTGGGCAGACATACAAACCATTTTGTTAGAGATCTCACTGAGAAAGTGGAAAAATGACCATGCTTGTACGCAGTTAGGAAACTGAGGCACAAAAGGTGAGTAAATTGCTGAGGAACGTAATGATCAAATTGCTGCAGGATGAACAGAAAACAGGTCTATCAACCTCCACTTCAACACACTGCTCACTGGCTTTGAGCCCGCACTCCTTTCTCACCTATCTCCCACTTCCACAGAACTGCAGTGCTCAAAGGCACCTCTAAAGGTCAGCCAGCCCATCCAAAGCAGGATAAACTGTGCCTGCTTCATTCCTGACAGCAGCTCGTCTAATCTTCTTGAAAGACCTCTGAGGAACCTTCCCAGAAAATCTACTCCAGTGCTTCACAAACTGTGCCAGATTTTTTTAAAGTATTATCTAACCTCAACCTTTCTCCCTTCAATGTAAGGCCATTACTTTTTGTTGTCTATATCCCGAACGTGGAGAACAAATTATTTCCTTCCTTTCAGAAGCATTTTATGCACAAGAAGACTTATCTAGTACTCCCCTTTGGTCTTGTCTTTTTGGGTCAAATAAGCCTGTTTATTCCACTTTCTCCTCACAGATGATGTTATGCAGACTATGCTCTTAATTCATGCTGTTCAGGTTTTCTGAAATTGCTCCTCAACTTTCTTGACACCCCCAAGCTCAGAAGTGGGCACAGTCCTCCAGAGGAAGGTTTCCAGCGCTGAGGAAGTGCACCTATTCTGTAATATTTTTATCTATGGCATAATACTTGAGCTTCTTTTTGAGAATGTCCTGAACAGCAGTTCCAGACTCCTTCCTAAGGAGAAGACAGAAGATGCTGACTGCACCAAGGCCTTCTTCACACAGAAGGAAATTGGGTCGTGTTGACATGATTTGCTCTTGACAAATCTGTGTGGACTGTTACTCATCTCATTATCTTCCAGTCAGTACTTACAAACAGTTGTTTGGTCAATTCCCAGGAAAATCTGGGGCAAATGAAGCTGGCAGGTGTGCAGTTCCCCAGCCACTCCTCTATTTAAAGATAAGTACCGTGTCTGTCCCCTCACGGTACCTCCCCCGTTTTCTGTGAATTCACAGGAGAGAGCAGCTGACAGATCTGGGGTTGTTTTAGTCGCTTCCTCAAAACACTTGAGCATGAAGCAGCAGGTCACTGGTATGAAAACATTTATCTGAAGTAAAAAACACTTTGCAGCCTCTTCCTTCGCAGCTGGAGGACAAGCTCTCCCCGCAGCATCACCAACACGGCTGCTCGGGTCCCTCACGCAGTCGGCCCATTTAGTCAGACTGAACCCAAAGAAGGAGGCATGTTCTTCAGTTTTCTTGACATCATGGTTGATAGCCTCCCAGCTGCTGAGCTGCAGACTAACTCCTTCCTTGCAGTCTCTTACAGCAAGGCAGCATTTGAGTGCTTCCTTGATATTCCTATTTTCCTCCCTGGTTACATCTCAATGTGTGCCACAGCATTTTGATATCCCTGTACACGTGGACACTGTTCTGTGGTTGTCACGACTAACCTGACCTAGTTTCTGTTCCCTTTCATGTCTGAGGTCCATGAGGACAGGACAACATGGCCATGTGCTACCGGAGCTTGAAAGCAGAAAGAATGCAAGGCTGAGGTGTGGTAGCTGTTTTCAAAACCACTGTACATAAACAATTTCAGAAATTCTTTTGCTTTCAATTTCAGGGATAGCGTTGTTATGTATTTGAAAGCAGGACCTGAATTCAACAAAACCATGTGCATGAACCTTGCTGAGGCTGTACACTTTGGACTTGCAATGGCTCTGGACACTGTCCAGAGCTCTGTAGGCTTACATACACATCAGCTGAGGCTACATTTTCCATTGTGTTAAGCTGTCCGTTTCTTATCTGCCATTTGACTGACAAACACCAAAAATGAGTTATAAATTTCACAGGCAGAAGGAAGAAATAAGACATTCACATATAGATTTTCCGGATGAAGTGGTGTTTATAAAATAAGTTTTCATTTTTCCTTACATGATTTTCACATGTAAGAATAATCCTTTCACATAGATCAGTTTTTGCAAGTGCTTCAGATTTGGACTAAGAGCCCTACTTACCCTGTAAGAGATTTAATAAACATACGAGGCTTGCTTCTTTCTGTGACACTTCACAAAGTGTGCTTTTACTTAGAATTACATAATCCCACACAACAAAAAACTAAAAATCACCTACAGCCAAGTAAAGTTTGCATCTCTGGGTTGAAGAATGGATCTGTGGTGGGGAACGACAGAAAGAGCAAACTCAGCGAGTGCCATCTAGACTGAGAACCTGAACTTCAACAAGTATTAAGGCACAGGTTGCTCTCTTCACCAGTTTTGACACATCTTCTAACGCTCAAGATTAAAAGTGTATTAAGGTGAAATAGCACGTTTCATTCTTCTGAAGACTGTGCAAGCTGAAGTGTCTGGCTGTGGCTCGCTAAGAAGCAACCACAAACATGGCAAGAGAACGCTGACTGGAAGAAGGGTCTCTGTGCAGGTTAAGAGAGGCCTTGTACCAAACATCAGAAGTCTGCAAACCTACTTGGCTACAATGCTGAAAAAGAAAAGAGCAGTCAGAACTGCTCAGTCCTGGGTCAACCAAAATGACTACTGCCACCTGTGCTTCTATTTCTGCACCTACGCTGAAACAGCCAGAAAGTATCAGCGAGGGAGGAGAACGGCCCTCACCAGAGGAGGACAACCTTGAAGCTTCTTTTTGCTCAAAGGCAAGAATATTAAAAATAATCTTCCCTTTGCTCCTGCAAGATAGCAACTATCGTCTGGGAAAGACAGAGTAACCGAGTATCTTAAAACTGAAGTGAAATGTTTGCCAGGATTTTGCAAAGGGAAACCTTTCAGATTTCTCTAAAACAACATAAGGATTATTCAGCATCTGCAATTTCAGTTTCAGGTTGTCATGATTCCAGCAGAAAACAAGCAGTTGGCAGAGCACAAGCACAGAGTCTTTGCTCGTCTTTTCAGCATCGAAACCTTGCTACCAGAGCTAGGACTATGATGGAGAAGCAGGCTGACAATCTCTCGAGTCTTAACAACAGGGTGGGCTTTCATGACATACATTTAATCCAGCCTAAGCACTGTGCTGCCAACAGGGCCAGTCCCTTTCTTCCTGCTCCACTCCCAGCTGCAGATTCCCCCTGCCCGTTTCAGCTCCAGCACCACGTGGGTACAGGCGAGCTCTGACCCTCGAGCCCAGGGCTGGCAGCGGGGATGCACGAGCATGGCTCGAGCTCCCTGAGTGTGTCACGGAGCTACGCCCCAAGGCTTCGCAGGGGGCAGCATGTATGTCATGCTGACAGCACTAAGCAGCATGGTCATTTAAGGGAAGATTCCTTTTAGACTACTGCTCTACAACTTCCCATCTTCTTTTCCTGGATTGAAAGTGAAAGAGGGACCAAAACCCACCTGTCCATTTACTCTGGTCCTTGTCTCCTCCGCTCTCTTGCTCCTTGGCAGGCTCTTCAGCATCAACGGCTGTTTCATTGGGCCCTTCCACATCTTCAATGGCTTCTTCTGAGAAACAAGAAGCAGAAAGAGTAACATAAAAAAGAAAGTCAAAACGGAAGAGCAATTAACTGCCATTGAGGAACAGAGCAACAGCCAAAGCTGGAGCACAAGCGTTGAGCTGCAGGGATTGCTGTCACCCAGCATTCTCCCGATGACTACCTACTCGCTGGTTAAGAGGGAAACTACGGATGAAAAAACTGAGAGATGAAGTGAAGATCCTGACCTACCTCTGCCACTTATACCGATATCCCCTGCAGTGTAAGGTACAGCAAAATAATTGCCAGGTGCAGGAAGGATCTACCCAGCCATGCTATGGATTAGGGAACTGTTGAGGTCTGACTGGTGCCTCCAGCACCTTCGGACTCATCCTTCCCCCTCATCCCCAGCTCAAGCTCTTTGGACCAAATAGCACAGTGCTGAACCTGACCACCGAGACCCCCACAACCACTGCAGAAGCAACACGACGCGCTTCTGCTCAGACAAAGCAAGGAGCAGCAGACATGGCCCTGACACAAGGCACGGGAGGAAGATGCTGAGGTGTCTGATTTTCATCCCAGCCACAGGAAGGGTTTGAGCACGCATGTGCTACCAGTACTGGTGCAAAAGCATGAAGGAAAAAAATATACTCAGTGCTGAAGTGAAGTGCTGAAAGCTTGGAACAAAACACAAAGTGCCACTGCCCCAGCCGTGAACAAAAGCACTGGTGTGCTGCGGCTGCACGGGGCATGTCGACACGGCTCGGTGCAGCTCCACGCACAGCCACCCTCGTTAGGTAGGATACTGGGAGTGAGACAGCTGTAGCTGCCAGACCTCTCACACCAGGGTATAACGACTACATTATCATGTCATATCTTGGGTATTTATGTATAGTGCAAGCAGCTCGACAGCTACCATGTAATTGACGGGGGCTACATCAACAGTGGGAAGAAAGGGTACTTTTAAGTCATTATATCCTCTTTTAGGCAGGACAGTTCATAATTTTAACTTGCATTATCTGGTCATGCTATATCCAAGGCTATTGTAAGGTTTTATCTGAACTATGTAACTAGTTAAAGCACTCCCCCCGCCCCCCCCCAAGCCTCCTCCTAACAAAGACAGGGCTAGAAATTGGTTTAAAACATATATTAGGAGACTGCAGATACTCAGCAGTGCACTTGGAGAATGTGGAAACTTAAACGAAGGAGGAACTTGAAAAGCATCAGAGATCAGCAGTGATTTATACTCTACCCCTTTCACTTTTTGAACAGCTAAAAGCTCCTGAGAGCCGCAGGGACCCCAATGGTCTGCTGGGGAAGCAGGACCCCAGACTAAGGAGCGTGACGGGTGGCAGCTCTAGGGAGACATCTAACACGCAGAAAAATGCAAATTATCGGTGCAGAGGTGAGGTGAGCAGTCTACCTCATGAGACGAAGTCAAGTTTGCAGGATAAGGGCTGTGAAGCCATCAGCTGGATTCCCATTTCGGAAGGTAACACTGCAATCCCCCCCTGCAGAAAGCCAGCCCCCAGCCCCACCTCGCCGCCCCCCGAGCGCGGGGCGATGCTGCTCGTTTGGCTGCGGCAGCCGCCCCCGCTGCAAAACCTTGGCCCGGCTCAGCCCCCCCGGTGCCCCCGGCCCTCCGGGACAACAAAGGGCGCCCGGCGGCGGCACTGCCGGCTGCGACCCGGAGGTGTCAGCATCGGCATGGCAGCACGGGGCCGGCGCTGCCTGCCCGGCTCCGGCGCTGTCTGGGCTCTAACCCGAGCATGTGGAAATAATACACGGCTTCCAGCGCACTGTCTGGTTCGAGGGAAATGAAATCGGACATTCAAAGGCAGTTACGCCATCTGTCTTTATACCATCATCATCATCAGCGAGGGGAAAAAATAGCTCCTTGGAATGGATGGAAGCCCGGGCTGACGGTAACCGGAAAAATGTGAGCTATGAATACCAATAAAGATAGAAAAGGATTAAAAAACAAGGCTACAAATGGCAAATCCTCCTGCCCTGCTCGGTGTGCAGCCCCCTCGCCCACAGGCACAGCCTGCCGGACCCGCCAGCCACCAGCACCGAGCCGAGCCCGTGGTCCTGCCAGGGATGCAACCTCCCTCCCTGCCTCCCTCCCTCCCTGCCTCCCTGCCTCCTTGGCCCAAACACCTCTGCTCTGGGCAGGCAGGCTGCAGGAAAGCACGTGCATGCTCCCAAAGCTTTTCCTCCCCCCTCTGGTCTAAGCACATCTTTTCTGAAGGGTGTTTTTCTAAAGCAGAACGGGAGGGGAACAGAGCAGAAGATGAACCTGCCCCGGGAGGTTTGTTCAGGCTCCGTATCAGGAGGGAAAGCTCCGCACACCGCTGCCTTGGCTGCTCACTGCCAGGCCCTCGCTGAGGACAACCACCATCCTCTTCTCTTGCTCCTGACCCTGGCCCAGCCGGGGGCTCCTGCAGCCAGCAGCTGCCTGGCGCGGAGCCTTGGGGCAGGGGCAGCGTTAACTGCTGGCTGCCTCCTGATGCTCTCCCAGCAGCCGTTTGGATGGCTGGGTGCAGTTTTGCTCGCTGTGCTCAGCCTAACTTGTCTCGCAGCCCTCAGTGTGTGATGGTCGGGACAGAGTCCTGCCCCACACCACTCAGCCTCCAGGAGACTGCACACCACGTACGAGCGTGTGATCTGATCTGACCCAGCTTTTAACGATGAGATCCTCCAACACTGGAAATAAAGTGCAGCAGGACTCGTGCTCCCGAAAGCTCTGTGCCCACACAACCACGGTGTCCCCCGATGGCAGCTCTGCAGATGCTGAGTTCAGCTCCAGCACCAGGGCTCTGAGCGGGCAGCGGGTCTGGGCAGCAAACACGTGCGAACTGCACCTGCCTTTCTTCGGGGTGTATTTCTGAGAGGACAAGGCCAGCAGCACCTCTGGCAGGGAAAGGTCTGTTTTTCTCCTTGATCCGCTGTGCATGCAGCACAGAGTTTTTGAGCTCCATTTTCCTGTTTTAATCGTCTGCAAATCCACACAGCACGTTGTTCCCATGCTGCATTCAAGCAGAGTTTGAGTCTTTTACCTATGTCTGAAGAGCCCCATAGGACACTCCTTCAGATGAGCAGCAAGAGTAACCTCGTGGCCAACTCCTGAAGGCCAAATGGTCAGCAAGACATGGAAATTTATTTCCAAATAACTGTGATTTTTTTGTTACTGTCTGACCACACCAGCCTGAGCCTGTAAAACTGCTTGTTAGGACTGATTCACCTTGCAGCTTGACTCTGTTTTGCTTAAGGAGATTGATAAGGACTCCACAGTCACTTGGTGATTAAAAAGTACTCAACTCATAGTACGTCCTACAAAGCATCCCAAGTATGTCCTACAAAGCATCCCAGACTGAGCTGGTACCCAGGGGGTGCGACATCCCTGCAGCATTTCAGAAGCATGCTGGAGTCTCTGACCAGGACCTAGAGCCTGGTGGGGGCACTGAACGCAGAGGGGTGCAGGTCCTTCGTGAAGGATGCTTTGTAGGAGGCAATGGGGCTGACTCCTGACCTGGAAGGGTCTCTGGAAGGCCAGGGATGCTATTCCAGCCCATGCACAGAGGATGTAGGGGCCAGATTGGTATCCCTGGTTTCCATAAACTCCAGCTATGCATGATTTATGAGTTCATGGAGGGTAAGTGGGCTTCATCCTCTGCGAGCAACTCACCAGGGCAGGCATAAGAGCTGTTGCTATGGGATTTGCATGAGGGGGATCGTGTCGCATTGAAATACAAATGTTACAACCTGGCCATGGGTCACCGTGCCGGTGTCATCCACAAGGCACGTGATGCTTTATTCATAAATTTTCTTAAAGGAATTTTCCAGCCCTCCAGCATCGGTCAACACCAAGAGTGAGCATCCATAAGTACAGGGCACGTGGAGGGCTGAGGAGGCTGCTCTTCCATCGTACAGAACCTACCCCATGCAAATTCCTAGGAAGAGTCTTTTCTTCCTTTGTGAATAAATCATTTTAGACAGTGGCATTTCCTTTTAATTTAAAATTAAACCAGTCACTAAGGGAAGGAGGGGAGAGCAAAGAAGAGGGGGAGAGGAGTCTGGAAAATCATGGGCATCTTCTGACGTCTGTGAATGCTGGGGTCTCTGAGCTCGGTCAGGCACTGAGAACGCTGCCAGGTCCCTGCACACCACCACACGGGATCGCCGCGCTGCACTCCTGCCCCCTTCCAAGCTGAGGAAGTTTGCGGGTGTGGAGAACTCAGCAAATGCTGACCCGGTCCCAGCCAGGCTGAACAGCCTGAGACTTCCCACCTCCCCCCCTCTCTGCCGTGTCTTCCTTAACAACCCCAGATCTCTTATCTAAGGGGATAAGGGGCATGTCAGGGGTGGCAGAAACACAGGGATGGGAGAGAAAGGGCGCACATTTGCCTCCCCACCCTCCGGCAGGCTCAAGAGCTGAGAAACATTAGCTGTCACGAACCACAATCAAATCAGGTTTGAAATATTTAGCAGTGGCTTGGAAAATGCGGTGGTGCAGCTCTGACAGGCGAGATGTGCAGACACCCATTTTCCATTATAATGGAAATATCAAGCCTGTTCTGAATATGTATAACCTAGAAAAATGTATTGATTTTTCATTCGGCATTAAAAAAATGAAATACCCTGCAGCTGTCAAAAGCCTTTTGTTAAAAGCTCATCTTTCCTGGAATGAGGTTTACCAGAAACAAGTTTTAATTGTACACAGGGTCTTTCCTTTGAAACAAAAAGAATTTCTGATGCTCCTCTTTTTGGGACAAGAGACCAAAAAAGAAAGGCAGGACTGAGACCTGGCTGATTTTTGCAAGCTGTCCCTGGCAGGGAGCGGTGACAGCGATGGCCTGCACCCAGCCGGCACTACAGCCACCCGTGTACAGCGTTCCCCTGCTGTGGGGAGGTCGCAGCAACGCATCTCAGGGCAGTCCTGGCATGGTTCAGGGGTCCAGCTACTCCAAACCGACTCCAGGTCCTTCTGGAGATGTGTCAGGAGCCCCTAGGGTGGATGCCCTCTGCCTG